AGAAGCAAGTTTCTATATTTACTTTCTAATGGGGGCAATTTCAAAACAATAGTCACTTCTAAAATTTAAGATATATACCTTTCGATAGGCTCATAAACACAGGGTCCCTAATTATCTATATTTTACTTTTAAATGTTTTCTATTCCAAATTTGTGAGCAGAGTTTATAAGAAAGCTGAAACTTAAGGCTTAAACTTTTGGGTTATTTTTACACAAAAATATTTCAGTGCACTCCTCTACATTTGAGTAGTCATTTCCTCATGCATCCTTCTAAAATAGAAAAACAAAAATGATATATCCACATATACCTAATACTAACACATACAGATATACATCTTTTTCACTGTGAAACAAACTTGAAAGCTTTAGTCAGTGAGACTCTTTCAGAAAGTTAGCAGAGTCAGTCAAAACACTCAAAACTTTAACCATGACATCTGTTACTCTGTGTTAATAAGAGTCTATAGAAGAATCCAAGAACTTAAACACTCACTAAAATCAACTACTATCCTATCATATCATATCATATCAATGGAGAAATGAAAAACTGTAATAGGAGACATACAATTCACAAGATCTTCAAAAGGAAAAATGACCTTTTTTAAAAAAAAATTATGGGAAACTGACTAGGCAGCATTTTTCACAAGAAGCTTCACAACTATAACAAAGAGATTTTTGGTAACCACAGCAGTATTTAAAAAACAAAAATTTAGGTTGGGCATAGTGGCTCATGCCTATAGTCCCAGGACTTTGGGAGGCCCAGGCAGGTGGATCACCTGAGGTCAGGAGTTCAAGACCTGTCTGGCCAACATGGTGAAACCCCGTATCTACTAAAAATACAAAAATTAGCTGGGCGTGGTGGGAGGCACCTGAAATCACAGCCACTAAGGAGGCTGAGAGGCAGGAGAATCACTTGAACTCGGGAGGCAGAGGTTATAGTAAGCTGAGATAGCGCCACTGTACTTCAGCCCGGGAAACAGAGTAAGACTCCATCTCAAAAATTATAGTGTCCAGGGTGCACTTTAAATGCGTTTCTCAACTGATATGGAAAAACTTAGCATTTTAAGACAGAAGCTTCTGTCCATGTATTAATTAGTTACATATCTCAACAACTTAGTATCTGCATGGCTTCTTACCATTTATGAAGAACTTTTACATGTATTATCTCATTTGGTCTCACTGAGAAAATAGTATTATGCCTACAAAATAGACAAAATTCAAAGCAGATTTATCAAACTTTCTAGCATCCTCAAGTTGTTAAAATTTTGACACAAAACTTTACAGGCAACCACGTGGCATGATATTTCCAGTGATAATCAATTCACCTAACACTAACAGAGTTTCAGAGGACCATGTGCTGTAAATGCTATGAAACTGTTAAGGTAGCTATATTCAACTTTATGCAGTTATTGTTATATCAGCAATGACCTGCCACTGATAGAACTTCACTTACAGTTCAAGAATCTCAGTCTTTGCAGGCTAACAAGTATATCTACCATATGTATTTATGATGCTGAGTGAGTAAAAATTGATCTACATTAGAATCATTGTCTGTAAATCTGATGGGGGAATAAAACCAGAAGTTGTCTAAAATTTTTTCCACACACTATCCCCCTTTCCCAAATCTCAACTACTCTATATACTATTTGTATTAATATTATTAATATTATAGGGATGATAAGGCTTAAAGCCCTAAATCGTAGCAACTACTTTTGTTTATAAAAACTACAAATAATTTTTTAAAAATACATGCTCAACATTCCACTCATCAACAGAAGACGAACTCCCCTTCCAAATAAAATAATTCTAAACAGTGCTCTGTACCTAGGCCCAGAATCCTTAAGCTATCCACAATCACATACCTACTTTGTATAGTCAAAGACTTCAGTTTCACATAGCAAACATAATTTATAATTGAAAGTTTTAAATGGACTTACTCAAAATCTTTCTGGAACTTTAAGGTGTTAATCCTGTTGCTTAGCTGAAGCTAAGTACAGCTGTAATAAGTAGCAAGACCCTCAAAATTCAAAAATATCCTTTATCTTGCTGTAGCACCTCCTGCTGGATAGCATTTAGAGATCTTCATGTAAGCAGAAGAAGAATATTTCAGAGGCAGGTCCTTCCAGACGACTGAATAGGAAAAAGGATGGACCCTTCAAGGCTAAAAGAAATAGGCCCCATCCACCACTTATACCTTCTAAAAATACAATTAGCCCAGGTAGGTGTCTTTTTCATCTATTACTACTCCAGTTCCATAACAACTTGCCTGAGTTCAAAATATAACATGCTTAAATCAAGCCTGCAAAATTATCTAAAAACTAAGTTAAAAAGCCTTCAATAGCACCCAAGCAAAAAAACTTTATTATGGGCAGCCAAGCAATGCCAGTCAAACTGCAAATACTATTATGTCACCAAAAGCAAAAGTCTGATGTTAAAACAAAACAAAACAAAACAAAAAAGCACCTGGAAGATTTTTAACATGCTGGCCAGATGTTTGTACTTTGAGAACTCTGTGCACGATGACTATGCTCTTCACCTAAGGATAGTTGTACATCTACAAACGTTTTAAGTACAGAAATTTTTAAAATAAACATTAGTATAACTGCACACAGAATTTCCTCTTTGCCATCAAAAGACAGGTCCCCGGATTTGAAAATGTATTTTTCAGACATTTTTAATGACCTTCTAAAATAAACTAGCTTAAGCCCACAACACAGATTCCATAAACAAGTGAAGACAGATGAAGAGAAGAAGGAACTTACCAAAATTAAAATGAATAATAGTATTTCCAGTAAAAATGTAGTAACAGTTTCCAACAATGCTGTAAACCAAGTAAATTGTGAAACTTAAAGAAGGAAGGAGGGGGCCAGACTTCAAAGACCAAAAGCAAAGCTGACCTATTTATTTCTACTGCCCAAGTTAGAGCGAACACCCGATGTAAACAAATATCATAAACACTGAAAAGTATGCTAACATGGTTTAGCCCCAATTTTAGTACCATTATCAGGCCCTCAATAGAGCTACAGATGATGAGAATCCTCTCAAAAAGGAGATAATTCCAACCCCTCGCCTTAAAGAATTCCTATCAAGTGAACCTGTGAAAAGGCTTCCTTCCCAGAGTGCACAACTGCTTTAAAACAAACAAACAAACAAACTTTCATCGGCCCAAATTAATCTGATTCTAATATTCAACTACCCATTATTTATATATAAATGTTCCTCCCTCTCCAACTTCTCCAGCTCAAGCATCTACATTCCTGACACTGACTATTAGAAAAAATGCACAACTCGTTCCCCAGCTATGGGGCAAATCTTTGAAATCCGAAACACAGCCACAAAGTTCACTGTCAAGGCCAGGTAACGAGGCCCACACAAGTCCGGACCTTCACTCAGATTTGAAATTCTAGAAATCCATACTCCCAGAGACATCATTTTAAAAACAACACAATGTGGACGTGCAGAGTGAGATCCTCTACTTCCAGACCTAAACAAAGAATATTTCAACATATGACCGGAATATGATGACACCAGATTCACCAATGAAAACAAAACCTGCCGACCATTAGCGGTCGTACCCTCATCACAACAACTCAACTACTTACAAATCACTCTCGGCACATCTGCACCCCACAACCGGCCTATGGCCTTCTCCGGGGGTGCAAGCCACAGACAAAGTTGAAAGGAGACGTTCTCCCCCGGTGCCCAATCTCGATACCAACCCCTCCCCTACCAGGGCCACCTTGCTGCTACCCACCATCGCGAACGTGGTCAGGGGGAGAAAATAAAAAAGAAATCCTAACAGCACCGCTCAGCAGAATAAAGAGACCAAAGAGAGGATGACGAGAAGTGTTGGGAACTGCGTGCACGACGGGGCTGGACCAAACGGAAAGAGTCCCACTCCGCGCGCCCCTCCCCCCGGCGGGGGCGCGGGCGGGGGAGGGGCGGCCGCGGCCCCTCTCGGAGCGGCCTGTCCGCCGGCCCGCTTGGGGTCCCGGGGGCGCCCCGCGGCCGCCGCCGGCGGGGGCGAATGCGGGAGGGCCGGCCCCGGGGTGAGGGGTGCAGGCAGACTCTCCGGAATAACAAGTTGCAGAAGAAGAAGAATAAGCGGAATTTCCCCAACGCTGCTCCGGCCACCCAAGACAAATGCACCAACACACTCACACTCACACACACAAACACACACACACACTCACACTCACACACACACACACACACACACGGGCCCGGCAGCGTCAGCAGCCGCAGCTTTTTTTTTTTTTTTTTTTTTTTTTTTTTAACCAGATCCCTCAGTCACCAAACAAGATGGTTTTCCAAAAAAAAAAATTTTTTTAATTAAATAACCATAATAAAAACTTCCCCCCGACAGCATCCCAGGGTGGGGTGGGGGGGTGGAGGATCCCCGGCTACCCTCCCCGGGCCAAGGGACAGCCGAGGGGGGCGGGCGAGGCTCCGCGCCCCCCGCCCCCGTCCGCGGCCCCCGGCCGGCCCCCCGCGGGGACAATGTGACGCCCCCTCCCCGCCGCCCCCGGCACGCCGCCTCTGTCACCCGCTCCGGCCCTGCACTCTGCGCCCAGGATCCCGAGGCTGCTCCTAAACTTACTTCCAATTTATCCTGGGGAGGGGTGGAGGGCAGAGGGGAGGAGGGGGGGAGCCAAGGTTTTCCCATTGTCTTTTTTTTCGGGGGGGGAGGTATGGGAAGGGCACGCAGGGGGGCGCCCCGAAGGGGAAGTTATTGCTCAAATCTCAAGTTGACTGAGGGGTCCTGATGAGAACACCCCCCTTTCCCTCCTCCCTCCCACACACCCCTCCCCTCCCCCTACCTCCCCCCACAACAAACTCCAAGCAGGCAGCCCCTGATCCTCCCAGAGACAAACACCAGCGACAAGACAGAGGGAGAGAGGAGAGAGGCAGAGGGGGAAGGGGGAGGGAGGGGAAATAGAGCTACTCCAGAAAAAAAGAGAGAGAGTGAGGAGAAGAGAGAATGGAAAAGCTGGGATACTGCACCCTCCTGCTGCTGGCTGGCTGTCCCCCCTGGCAGCTGGAGGCAGGAACTCTGAGCAGGAGAAGCAGGAGGAGGAGGAGGAGGGAACTCTTCTTCATGGGGAGGGAGGGAAGAAGCTGGAGCTGCTGCTGCTGCTTCTGCTGCTGCTCTGGGCCTCTCGCACTTTTTAGATATTAGTGTGTTAAGATGGTAGGTTGTTCCCTTCTCCCTCCTCCTCCTCCTCCTCTCCTCTCCTCTCTCTCTCTCCCTCTCTCTCTCTCTCACTCACTCTCTCTCTCTCTCTGGGCTGTTTCTTTCCTCCTCTTCCCCAGGCAAGGGGGGGTGGGGAGGAGGGGGTTGGGGGGAGGAACTGGATCCTCCTCCTCCTCCAGGAGGGACACACACAGGCCCCGGGCCGGAATCGGGAGGGGGGAATCAGAGCAGCAGGAGAGAAACTGTGAGAGACAAACAAGCCCAACTCTTCATCCTCCTCCTCCTCTCAGCAGCAGCAGCGAGCACCACCAGCCCATTCACCACCCGGCCCCGGGCCGCAGCACCTCCGCCGCCTCAGCCCGGGGATCCCTCCGCCCAGGCCCAGACACACTCGCCCGCGCGGGAGCCCGCCGCGCGGCCCCGCCGGCCCGCCGCCGCCGCCGCCGTGCGCGCCCCCGCCGCTCCCGAGAGCCGGGCGAGAGGGACTGGGGCTGGAAAAGCGGGGACGAGGGCGAGGGGAGAGGAGGCGCCGGGGGAGAGCGGGCCGCGGCGGACAGGGAGGGGGCCGCCGGGCGGAGTGGTACGGCGGCCGGCCGGGGCCCCCGTGCCTCGGCCCGTGGCCACCGGGACGTGCGGGTGGCCCCACCGGAGGCGGCGGGGCGGCGGCGGGGGGGACGGCGGGGGCCCGCGGCGGCGCTCGGGCGGGCGGACTACTTGACGTGTCGGTGCGGCGAATTTATTTCACTTTGCCTAAGGAACGGGGTGTGCTGCGGCGCCCATTGCCTAGGGAAAAAACCCGGATGTAAAGTGAGTGAAACTAAACTAGAGTGAAGTAGGGCAGCGGCAGCCAAACTCCAGTGCAGCGGCGGCGACGGCGGTGATGGGGCCGAGCACCTAGCGGCGGCGAAGGCGGCCAAACTCCGGGGCCGCCGCAATCCCGGGCCCGTGCAGCGCCGCAGCTCGGCTCCCGTGCAGCCGCAGCCGAGGCGAGGCCGGAGCCCGCGGCGGCCCCCCCAACTCCGCGGCCCGAGCCCAACTCCCCCCTCCCGCCCGCGGGAGCTGCAAAGGGGCTCCGGAGCGGCCCCAACTCCCTCCAGTGCAACAGCAGTTTGAAGCGGGGGGAGGGAAAGCCGCGATGGGCAGGAGCGAGGAGAAGCGTTGGGGAAGCACTGCAATGGGAGAGCGTGGTCCAGGCAACAGGAGAGATGCAACCTCAAGTCGAATGCAACATGCAATCCCCGGCAGCCGCTCGCCCGCTCCCTCCCCTCGCCACCCCGCCCCCTTTCCAAATAACTACCCTTGAACCACTTTATTAGCAGTACTTAGTCCCGCACTCGCTCCCGGGAGGGGCGGGGGACCGGGGCCTTGGCTCACCTTTATTTATTGCTGCTTTCTCCCCCCTCTCCATGTTTTTTATTCCTAAGTTCTTTTGTTCTAAGGGGGATGATGGCATTTACTTTTCTGCTTTGTGTAGCAGGGCAATCACTGGGAATCGGCCACGTATAATCCGGCGGTTTGTCATATTTTATTAGTGAAAGTATTTTATGCCTGTTCTACCTCCAAGGACTGTAACATGGAGAACTGCAGGGAGGAGAAAAACATCAGAAGAATTCTTGTTTTTGAGAGATTTCTTGGCGGGGCGGGGGAGGACCTTTTTTTTTTTTTTTTTTGGAGGGGGTTTATTTAGGTTTTCCAATCGATAGTTTGCAACTTAAAGGTTAACGTTTTTGCATGGGTGTATTACCGCATTCTAAAATAACCCCCAACCACAGTAAATTTTTTAAAAGTCAAAAATCCTAGATTAAAATTTTCTGCTGGACAGGGATATTATCTGTTCTGTGCAGCACGCTGGACTTAACATAGTGTTGGCCTTCGAATGCTAAATAACAATAAACCCCAACCTCAACTGAATACAAATTGGGGGGTGGGGGTGGGTTTTTTTTTTTTTTTTTAAGGCTCAGCAGTTTTGTAGCATCTGCCACTACGCATTTTCCAGGCATTGATTAGCCATGCAACTCCCATAGGCATGAAGTCCAGTTTTTGCAGATAAAGAGCAACAGTGGTGAGATGATTTGCCCAAAGTCAAAGTGAGTCATTCGCAGAACCAGAATTAGCCTTGGACTTTGTTACTAGTCACATCTTTTCCATTAAATAGTATTTCCTCCAAGAAGTAGTATTTAAAAATAGACGTTCTTTACCTTGTCATGTATTTTCACCAGAGGTGCTTTGAGATCATTGGATATAAAGGTATTTTCTTCTGTGACCTGCAAAAATAAGTTTAGTTTCTTAAGAAAAAGCAATTTTTAAAAATTCTGATTGCTTAAAAAATAAGTACTTGTGTAGGCCATTTAGTAGTCTGAGCTTTATGTTAGAAAAAAATTCACAGCAGAGAAAGTGTAAGAGTTTGAGAGTGAAAATGAAAATTCCTATAAATGATTCAAGAATCCTGGATGAACTCATAATGTTGTGAAACTAAACCCATAACGCGGTCAAGATGAATAACGGGAGGACAGGTTGGGTAGTAAGACCCAGCTTTACCATCTAGAGCTAACTCTAGTGTATTTACAATGAGGGAGGGAGGGGGTCTTTCAAGCTGGACCCACTAGCCAGTCACTGGAACTAGAACCTAATGGTGTCATTTCAAATCATCCTAAACTGTCAGCGATTTTTCATAGGAAGACTGCTTTCATGTTCTTTCTGGGAAACGAAGGTAATTTTTTTTCTGGAATTTAGTAGAAAAAAAATCCAGAACCTCCAGTTGTATCATGCTGTAGAACTGGGGTCAGCAAACTTTTTCGGTAAAAGCCCAGAGAGTAAATATCATAGATTTTGCATACCATATAGTCCCTGACACAACTTCTCCACTCTATGCTGTTACAACACAAAAGCGTCTGTAAGATGACATGTAAATGAATGAATCTGGTTATGTTCTAATAAAATTATTATTTTTAGGCCTTGACATTTGGATTTAATGTACTTTTCACGTGTCATGAAATGTTACTCTTTTGATTTTTTCCAATCATTTAAAAAAACAAAAACACCACATTCCCAGTTTGTGAACTTCAGAAAACCAGGCAGTGAGCTGGATTATGCCCTCTGGCTGTCATTTGCCAATCCCTGCTATAAAAAAGACTTAAGGTGGACTAGCCACTGAAATCGTACCAAAGGGTGTTTGGTTATTAAGATGTGTGTATAGCAACCAAAAATCAATATGCAAAGTCATTGTCTAGATATTTTTTCTTTTTTCTTAATTTTTTTTTTTTAAAGACGGTGTTTCACCATGTTGGTCAGGCTGGTCTTGAACTCCCAACCTCAGGTGATCTGCCCACCTTGGCCTCCAAAGTGCTTGGATTACAAGCGTGAGCCACCACACCTGGCCTGTCTAGATATTTAATTAAAATATTTTTAACTGAATATGGGAATGTCTAACACTCCTATAACTACCAAACTTAATGGAAAAATACTCTGGCAGTATTGCTCCTTCAACTAAGGCACTTGGGGCAATCTGCTTAACTTCTGACAGCCTCAGTTTTTTCCTATCTTGTAAATTGCAGCTTAGAATACCTACTTCCGGCCCCAGGCAAGGTGGCCCATGCCTGTAATCCCAGCACTTTGGGAGACCGAGGCTGGCAGGTCCCTAGAGCTCAGGTGTTTGAGACCAGCATGGTCAACATGGTGAAATCCCATCTCTACAAAATATGCACAAATTAGCCAGGCATGGTGGCACACGCCTGTAGTCCCTGCTACTCTGGAGGATCACTTGAGCCCAGGAGGTTGAGGCTGCAGTAAACTGAGATTGCCCCGCTGCACTCTAGCCTGTGTGACAGAGTGAGACCCTGTCTCAAAAAAAACAAAAACCCTACTTTGTAGGGCTCTTGAGAAGACTGAATAAAATAATTCGTGTAAAGTGCTTAGCACAGTCCAGGCACATAGAACTGTATGATGCATTTTCACTGTGCCCTTAAATTCATTTTCTTAGTTAACATAACTCAAGAAGGTGAACAGGTGGCATCCAGGTATTTTGATGGCACAGATGTGCATGTGGGGTTCAGAGACTCTCTGGTTGATTGAAGATTTTGAGGTTGTCATCATAAGTTTTGGTGAGTCTTTCTCAAGCTCTCAGAATTTCTGTGTGCCTGACATAGGCACTCAGTGGGCACACACTAGCTGTGTGGCTTTAGACAAAATACGTAGGTTTTCTGAACCCTGGTGTTCCTTATACGTAAAGACAATACCTTGTGAGATTGTTGTTGGGATAAATGGCATAAGGGTTAAAGGAAAAAAAAGGTAACAATTAGTATGTTAGCGGAAATTCCAGAAATAAGCTAGAAATTGAAAGTTCACTATCAAAAGCTGCTTTGACATAAATCATTCAGCTTTTAGACATGAATGACAATCATAACAGGTGCACAGTAACTTAAATTTGCTCTGTTGCCACCTAGTTACCCCTCCAAACCATTTAATTGCCATCAAAACCCTGTTGAGCAGGCCAGACACAGTGGCTCAGGCCTATAATCCTAGCACCTTGGGAGACTAAGGCAGGAAGATCACCTGAGGCCGGGAGTTCAAGACCAGTCTGGGCAACATAGGAAGACCCCACCCAAGCTACGAGTGGGAAGCATCACTTGAGCCGAAATGTTCAAGGCTACTGCAGTGAGCCACAATTGTACCACTGCACTCCAGCCTGGACAACAGAACAAAACCCTGTCTCAAAATAAAAAAACAAAAAAGCAAAAACTGTTGAACAAAGGTTGAAACTCAAATCTTGAATGTTATCAAGTATCAAATGTGCAGTTTTAAATTTTTGTGAAAGTATTCCAATCAGTATTTCCTTACATATTCCTGCCTCCTGTTCTGTGCTTCAAGAAGCTCTCCTAACTCCAAGATTAGAAAACTACTTACAATTTTTCTTCTGGCATTTTTATGGTTTCTATTTTTTACATTTACTTTACTATATTTATCTTTAAAATGTTTTTGGTGTAATATGAGGTAGGACTCTAACCTTTGTTCAATAGAAAGTAATTAATATTGGGCTTTTAGGGAACAATGT